TTCGGGCGTCTAGAACACAAACATTTCGCGGGGGCATGCCCCCGGACCCCCTACGACAGTGTTGTCTCAATCGGCCCAACTTTCGGCCCCCCCTATTGGACATTTCTGGATCCGCCCCTGTACCTTAAGGGGAACTTAGACAATGGAGGAATTAGAGAACAATTAAAAAAACAACGTTAAGGGGAAATAACACAAAAGATATTCCCCTTGGGCGATTATTATTTATAGGCTTAGTAAATAGTACGGTATCTGCAGGTTCTTCATTACAAGGCTTAGGCCAAGGTAATTAATGCTGAAATTATTATTATTATTATTATTATTATTATTATTATTATTATTATTATTATTATTATTATTATTATTATTATTTAACATTTACATTACAATGATAGTTTGGACAAGTTCAATATTACGCCGGAATGGTATATTATTTATTTAATAATATTTCTCTTATGCGCTCTATTTTTTATTTCATGCTTCAATTTTGTCCTATTTTTTCCCCAAAAAATGTCAGTCAATGTCAGTATGTTGGTGTCAGCCTATGACCCTAGGCCTAGTTTAATGAGGGGCCTAGGTAAGATCTCAGCCTGTTAGGCCTATTTCTCTCTAGCCTTTGGTATTACTGTACCTTACTACACTTTATAATAGGAGGTACTAGCTGTTGTTGTTGTAGATAATATACTAACATTTAATAACATCCAAGAAGGTCACAGTTAGTTACACACGTACATCCCATAAGTCCGTGAGATTTCATAGGCCTACCGTAGGTAAACATAAAAAGAGCAATACGGTAATAGTAAAACTCGAGCGTCACGACATTGCGAAGTGTCTAATCTTGTTCCTCGTATCGTACTTACTCGAGTCTATCCGAGATGGCCCGAGTGAAGTTTCATGTAAATGTTTCGTACGGAAAAAAAAATCGCGTCCTGTGCAGCACTCATTATTGTTTACCCATAGAGTAAAGGCATAAATAATTGAGGGCGCTCTTTAATTCCGTTAGGTGAACTGGTATACATGAATTTAGACCTCTCCCTCGCGAAACAGTCCAGTGGTGTATCGAGTAAGTTGCAGTGCTTATACGTGGATGAACAACACTATGGAGTATGCCAAACTCTCTTAAATAGGCCTTGGTAGCAGAGCCGTCGAGAGCGGCTGCCCCCCCCCCCTTCCCGGGGCATCTTGGCTGACCGGGCCTATTGGTTGGGGGTCTGGGGGCCACCTAGGGCCACAGCGGGATCGAGGGGAAGATCCCTGGCGCCCTCTCCTGGAAGCTACGGCCTTTTAACGGATTACAGGACTAATTTAATCGATTGTAGAGTAATTTCACCAGGTCATGAAAAATGAAGTATAAAAACATGAAAAGTGAAAGCTATCCTTCCTTTATTTAAACGTGCTGAAAAAATTCATAACTTATGTATCAAAATTTACAGTGGTGGATCCAGGAAATTGAAATAGAGGGGCCCAGAGAACTGAGGACTTTCACAGATGGACGGTTTATCTACCTCTGGCCCACCATTGTTGGGGCTGATGTAATCAGAAAATATGATTATGGCACCTCCGGACGGGCGGAAGTGGCACCGTTAGATTTTAATTTGAGTAGAATTTTTTCTTTATTTTTGTTAAATTTAGAAAAATTTAGGGGTGGCGGCCGGGCCTCCCCTTAAATCCGCCACTGGTTTAATATATCAATTTAGTATTTATTTGACAATCAAATTTCTATCAGGTCTATTCGTATTTTCTAACTTGTATGTATTGACGATTAATTACCAGCTTTCATTGATCATGGTCAGCTTTATTCTCGTGGGGGAAACACATGAATGATACTGGATGGTATACGTTTAATATTTTTTATCTATTTTATTTTATTATTTTTTCACTTGGTTATCCCGGGCTCCTGCCTGGCCCGGGCCCCGGGGCACTTGCTCCGGTTACCCCGGCCTTTTGGCGCCACTGCTTGTTAGTCAAGACAGTGTTCTTCAAAGAGAAGTGGAATTACATATTAAAATATTCGATTTTTCAGGATATTTATGGCGGCCATCTTGAATTTCAAAATTACTACCATCCTAGCTTTTTGAAACTATGTTTATTGTATTCAGAGAGCCCAAAATCATATGATTAGATCAAAATTTACCATTTTCCTTAGAGGATATGTGGAATTATACTGAAATCTTGAGTTTCAATATGGCTGCCATTTTACGTTTTAGAAACCTGACATTGGCTTCACTGACCCTAATAACATATAGTTAGACACCAGATTTGCCCGTTTTCATTGGATATAAGTGAAGTTATGAGTCAATATCATAATTTTGGCGGCCATTTGAAAAAAAATATGTTCCGCCCTTTTTCTGGAGGTTCTCCCTCGCTCAATTTTCTTATTTATTTATTCCCTAGTAATGCTTAATCAGCCGTAAAACCTTGGTCCCAGAAAAAGAGGTTCTCCCTCGCTCAATTTTCTTATTTATTTATTCCCTAGTAATGCTTAATCAGCCGTAAAACCTTGGTCCCAGAAAAATGGTCACGGGGCCCCTGATTTTCACTATACTATGGTGCCAGTTTTATAGAATCTATCAGCAGATTTCCTGGAAACTCAGTGAAACTATCAATACTTAGGCACAAAATGTAGTCTAGAGCTATTATATTTCATTTGCCCACAATGAAACCATCCCAGTATCCCAAGATTTCAAGAATGTGGTTATGGCTAACATGTCTATAGTGAAGTATGGCCAACTAACATATGTACTCAATAAATAACTTGGGAAAAAACTGTTTTCTTCAAACAAATGTTTGTCAAAAGAAATGTAATTTGATACTTTGGTTTATTATGCAATCATAATATAATAATGGAAAAGCAAAAAAATTAATAATTACATTTTATTAGTCGCACACTGGCGTCTCCATATTACCAATCAATACAAGTTACTACAGCTGCAGGCTAATCATATAGATTATATGAGAAACGTTGTTTTAATAAAACAAAAATAATATTAAATGTCAGATATTTTTTAATGTTTCTCATGTTTTAATATTGTATTGTATTTATGCTCCCTGTTATTGGAGTTCACGCTGTTGGGTGAAATAAAGTAAATAAATGATTCAATAAAATAAATATGGACTGTTAGATTACTAAGGTCAAAGATTAAAATAAGCATTTTCAGTATTCTCCAATAAATTTTAAGTTAAAGTAAATAGAAGCATTTTCTGGAATTTAAGACCATAATTAAGTCCTTACAATCTTAGAGAAGTAAACTGTAAATAAATTTAGAAAGAATTTAATCGATATTTAAGGTAATTAAGTCAGATGTCAGATATATATCCGCTGACCATAAAACAAAATTCTTCATTAGAGCCTATAGATTAGAGCATATGAAATCAAATGACTTTAAATGGCTGCCATAACCTCTGATTAAATAGTTAAGTTAGTAACAATTTCTCGACCATGAAAACTTTAATTTAGACATCAGAATTCTAATTTGGAGTGGTTTTAAAGCTGATATATTGATAAATAGAGGTTTTGCGTGGCAGCCATTTTAAAATCCAAGATGGTCGCTAAAATGAACTCGAATGAAATAGTTCATTGTAAAAAAAAAAGAAGAGACTAGTATGATTCTGATGTAAAACATGACAAGTACGTAATTTTTAAGATACCCATAAAATACGTGGAATGACCTTGAATGACTTTAAATGACCTATTTCAAACAATCTACAAAAACAATCAAAGTCAAAAATCTTATGATAGCATTTCTTGACCATTTAAACATATTTTTAGACATTTAGATATAGCGGATTGCTCCTCCACCCCCTTTTCTGGCAGGCTGGATCCGCCCCTGCCCTCGCCGCTTCGTTCCTTGGCGTCCCCCTTTTG